GACTGCGTCATTCATCAGCATTTCTTTGCCTTCCTGCAGACATATGACAGGGCTACCACTTTTTAAATTACTGTTACTAAATGTCCGTCCCACTGACGTATTAACGGGCTAATCAAATATGACGTCAAGAAGCTGTTACGGGTAGTCAAAGAGTGTTTACGTGTTCCTGCAAACAACGGCGAAATTCGTTTCTGTAACTTCAGAAAACTTCTTCTCCACACAATGGCACCAAACACAAAATAACTTCACAAAAGCTGCAGATAAAATAAATTACCTATACATCACGCAGGCATAAAACGGGTAATTCGCCGATAAAAAAACTTATTTAAATATAAATTTCTTAACTTCCTTTGACGCATTTAACCTTAACTCATATATATCACTCGTGAAGACTGAGATTCACTGATTCGACAGAGGAAAACACTTTAACACGAACACTCATTAAGATACGAGAAAAACTGGCATCACGAAAAACAGGCTATTGCAAATACGGAAAGAAATAACAACATTTAGGGAAGTCTGAGCGGTTAGCCGCGTCATCCGTGCACTAACGAATGCTTCTGCCCACTGCTGACACTCAACGGCATACCAAGGGGTAACCCTCCGACTCCGAGGTCTCCCAGTTATGGCCGCCGCCGCCGTCCATTGTATCTTTCTGCACAGTACCCACGGTTCACTCGGTTCGGACAATCGCGGTCGCTAAAAGTATGACCCTCGCCCGTTCAGCTTCATCGGAGAAACTCGTGTCGAAATATAACGTTTCTGAGCGGAGACTTAAATGAAAAGAGATTCTTAAATTTCAACAGAAAATGGAAGCTCGAGGCCAATCTGGTTTAAAAACATGCAGCACGCAATAATGAGTTAATAAGATTCATGTTGACTTAGAGACAGTCAAACTTCGACCACGCGCAAACGAAATGAGGAGAAATGAGGTTCATCAAACAGCAGACTGTATGCGGGTGGACTTATCAATTAATTTAGACACACAAAATCATAAGAACATTTTTTTAAAAAAAAACATGTTCTTCCGGTCGAGAATTAAATTCTAAATCATCGGTTACGAACGAAAATTGGTTAATATCTTTTGAGGAAACCGTATTGGACAAATTTGTTACTGGGTCTAAGATGTGGTTTGCGCTCCGAGGGTATTTCGGATGCAAAGTCCTACATTACGGACATTTCACAAGAATGGAACGATAAGCCATAGAAGTTCGATTTTGTAACAAAAAGCGACTGTACATCTGGACAAGCCTCGCTAAACAACAATGCACACATTCAGCTGTCCTGACAGCTGGGGCTCAACGAAGGTGAGAAAGGGGAGATTTCACACAGGAGGGGAGATATGCTACCCTCTGAGGGATCTGGGGTAAATTCGCCCGCCATTCTTGTCGCTTCGTCCTCAAGTCTTTTCTAGTTCAGTCGCGTTCTAAAACAGGGCGATTTCATACGCGCGCGATGTTATTAATTACAACAGCTGATACGAAGTGTGACCTCGCGCATAACGGAATACCGTCGACACAAATCTGACTTTCAAGAACAACCACGAAGTGATGAAGATCTAACATCGCCATGGAGCCACCCCTTCTCCAGTTTCTAGCACATCATCGCCACCACGAGACGCCTCATTGAAGGTATGTAAAGCAGAAGACGCAGTCGACTTACGGACTTGCAGACGTCTAAATCAGTCCTGTCCTCTGGGATGTTGCGCGGTGTGGTCTGGTAGAAGTTTCCGCCCTGATGATGCAGGTAGCAGGCACCTCTGAACCGTCGGTAAAATTCTACCAGACTACACTGCGCAATATTAATTAATTATTAAAATAAAATGTTCTGATTATTCTAGAAAAAATTCAAAACTGTCAGAAACATTTTTCACTCATCAGAAACTCTCTTTTATGTTTACAAATATTAATTTTGGCTTCTGATAGTTTATGACTGAAACATCCCCACAATTAAATTTCGCAACCAAACATTTTTTTTATCAATTGCATGTTTTCTACACATTTTTCTGACTGTTAACAAGTTCGTCAACTCGTGGGTCAACGCCCACTTCCGGACACGAAGTTCCGCTACACAACAACCGGAATGCAAACCGAAATTGCCTAATTTTCATGCGCAGTGTTTGGAAAATGGAAAACACTGAGCATTCGTGCAACTCGTATTATAGCGAGGAATCTTACAAACGGGGTATTTCGAAATCAGTGTTTGACCTACATAAGAAAATAAAGATTATAACACGAAATTTATGCAAAATTAACGGAATATGCTTTAAGGCCAGTACTTTTTAACTAGACTTATAAGAATACGCCATTAGAAAGGACAAATACACTTACGAGAGACTGTAATTAAATGTAACACTTCAGCTGTTAATTTGATATCTGGTAAAAATCTGATAAAAATGTACGCTAGCATAATGTATGAAAATTGTATTTGAATTATTTATCGTTTTGAAGCTTTATATAATTATATACACCTGAGGATGGTTCTTTTAGGAACTGAAACATGAAAAATGATGGTCTAATGTAAATCGAATATTTCGATAAAGAACATCATTTAATATTTTAAATATTTTAAATGTTAATTATTGTAATATTGTAATATTTTAATATTTAATAAGAATTATTGTGATTAGACGGACAAAATTTAATATATACTTAATATATCACAACATGACGCAACTTTACCATCTTGAAATTCCGATACAAAAACACACACAGAGAAGTTTTCCATGAAAGCTGGTTAAGAATTGCACTGAGAAAACTATGCAGGCGTAAATATTCGTGTCAATCACCAGGAATAAAAAAAACGTGACAAAGTAAAATGTTACGGACGAACAGGGACAATCTTTTTGGCGGATAAGTTTACGAAATAATTTATAATTAAAGAATTTATTTCACTTATTAACCAAAACACCTTTCGCTGCTTTTAAACCTGTTATATCGACCGTACAAATTGTATGTTACAAGCAGTTTACAGCCACCTTTTTCTGGACTGACCTTTTCGTCCTGTCACTACAAAAAAAAAAGGTGTCTCTCCTGTTTCTGCTTTTGATGTGTCTGATTAAACGATTTTCACTTTTCAATGGGCTTTCACGCGCTATATGAAACAGTGAACGAGGAAAGGTGATCAATGCAAACGTCACTGTTGATTATGAAAAACGTAGGTGACAGTGACGAGTCCTTAAGACTTAACATCATAAAAACTAACTTGCTCGCATCATTTTGAAATTCTGCTTTTATTATCCATCATAATTCATCAAAGCCATTACGAACGTGTGAAAGTCACTTTAATAGAAAAAAAAAGTAGGTATCGAAAGGAACAGACACTGAATCAAGCTGCAATGATCACAAGAGACAACTTAACTTAACTTCGATTAAAACTGAAGTTGATAACTAGACTTAAAACAAAAATACAGCCTACTAATAATCTGTACATATGCACTAAACACCAGTTATAAAAAGCTGAAAATATTTTTAGTTCGAAATAAATACAGCTGTTCGATTTAAAATTAATTTTAAAATATCATTAAGTCTGTCCGTATCTAGATAGTTAGCTTTAAACTCAATTTCCGCATCAAAACAGAGCAAGGGAGAGACAATTTTATAATTAAGCCACCCAATTAAAATTCCATCAAGACGACGACCAAGACCTAGGAGGAGTTAATCAAAATTTTAAGACGGAATGTAACTTGAACGAAAGACTTTATAGAAAATGGACTGTTGATGAGAGTGATATGATGTTCTACGGCGTAATCAACACACGATGGGCTAAAAGAGGTCCAGAATCGGTTCTAATATTTGGCACAAGTCTGGTGTCATGTGAAACAGAAATGATCAATAGCATTTAATGTCGAAACTTAAATATTATTTCATGGTACAGTATCTGGATTCAAAGGTAGGTGTTTTACGTAGTAAAATTTTCAAATATGTTGAATAATTCTTGACAGTAAGACGTTCCCACTACGTGAAACATTAGACCAACGGCAAGGATCTTTAAACAGTGCGATCACATAAATTTTGTTTGCCTGAGAAAAAAGACGGAAATTGCTTCGGTTAACTGTGCCCTAAAAACGCAACGATGTCCTTCAAATAATAAGTTGAGAAGAAGTCACTATTATGAAACTTAAAATCATTAACATTTTATTTAAATCGATAGATTTTTAAGTAAAACTTTCAAGCCTCATGACTTAAAGGCGTGGCATCACAGACAGGGAAGAGGTCGCTCAACCAGGTCCAACAAAGATTTCATCTTACTTTTTTTTTCAATCCTCCAAAACGCAATGATTTTTCAAGACTTTTACTAACTTTGCAAAAATCGATAGATAAAGTCAAAAACAAACATCATCACTGCCAAAGTCATTCAGAAGAAATGTTAGTAGCTACAACTGTCCCTGCCTTGTGGCCCGCGAGCAGCGCATGTGGCCTCAGGTCTCGAAAAGTTTGGGAAGCCCTGTCTTAGAGAACAGGATGAAATAGGATCATGAATCTTATACTAATTCAAATTAATTTCTTTTATACAAAATGCATGCTGTCCTCATTATCCCTGTCACACAAACACCACATCTGCTACTCTTAATGGTTCTCAAGTCGGTATTGAGTCCCAAATTTTGAATGGTTTTTCTACAGCAGGTCCAAGTTTCATAAGGCCTCACGCACGGACTCGTGGCCAACGCTCTGCAGGTCGTCGACTGTCTTGCAGTACCAATGCTCTCTACCGCTGGTCTTTCCGCCGGGGTAAATAGCGCTGTTGTCCTCTGGGGAAGCCACTCCACCATCACGACGCCCTCCGTGTCCCAGAAGACCATGCCAGCGAAAGGAGTTGTCCGAAATTTCTTGGGTCGAGGACTTCCATCATGTTTCCACTGCATTGATCCCCTAACAGAGACGTCCTGCAGAGGTTCCGCGAGTCGATACGTACTACCCCACGAGACTAGTGTCCGGACCCCATCAGGACGTTGCCAGAAAGATGACAACGGTACAGTGACCTCAGTGGGGAATATGTAGAGTGCCTTTCGCACATTACTGAACACCACACACAAGAAAAATGAAGTTGGGGGAGGGGACAATATTAAAAAGGATCACAGATAAATGGGCTCTGGAAATGCGAGTTGGGTTTATTTGACTCCGTATAGGTACCGATAAATGACGAAAAATTCTTTATCAACAACGCGAAGATTAGTTTCTCAACAAAGGATCTGCTACGTGGAAATAGTTAAAGATCATTTTTAAGATTCGTTATGTTACAGCAATGGAGAAATGCCGAAGAGATAAATAATGATTATCAAAACTGTTGAAAACAGACGAATAGATAAATGGTCATTCAGTATCAATCACAAAAAACAGATACAGCAAGACTTAATCAAAGAAACATAACACCACATGACTCTGAAGACGTATTTTCATTTGTGCTGCAGAAGTGTTTGTATAAATCATTAAAACTGTCGGGTCTTTTAAAACAAAAGTCACTTACGTGCATTAAAAGATTTTACTTATTTCGTTAAGACGCATTTTCTGTCATGAAAATATTTGCTTCTTAACTATATATGAGGATCTGCAATCAGTTCACTTGTACACTTACCAATCACTTTAAAATCGACGTCGCTTTGAGAAGAAATACAGATTCAGGACATCCCTGCAACAAAACAACGCCCAATTTTATGTTAAACTGCATAATGAGCGAGACAGTTTCATGTAAAGAAAACGTAACTTTGCAGATTACTGAAGTGTCCTTGCGCCGTGCAGTCCGAAAGAAGAATTTTACCAACGTTTCGGAGGTACTTACTGCCTCCATCATTAGGGCGATGATTAAAAGGCTATGAAAAGAAAATCCGGTTCGAGGCTACTCAAAAGGATGTCCATGTTCTGTTCAAACTATCCGTTTCAATCCTCGTAATACAACACGATGTCATTAAATTAGGTTTTTTTTTAAATTTATTCGCAAAATGATACCAAAACAATGTCTTTATTTCCACCACTGAATGTGTGTACATCTTCTTGGGACACGCTGTACACGGAAGGAAATTTTGTTAGGCCTATCGACTTCCAGTAAAATGGATTTTTTTTTCCCTTTCCAGGTAACATCCTCGCTTGTGGGTAAGTATCCCAGCGCTATGGATCGTGGGAGCACACGAAAGCACCCACTGGTAAGGCAACTCACGGCATCCTACTTCATATTCGGACCGGTATTGATCTCCCCGTTGTTTTAGCAGCGCACATTCGCACCGTTCTGACCTCCACGTCGTGTTCCTCTGCCCGTAATCGAACAGATAATGGCTCTGGTATCGTTTGCTTGATGGTATTTACTTTTTACATCTTTTCCAGACACAAAACACGTATTCAGGTGGTTTAAGGGACGCTGTCAGTGGCTCAGACCACAGAGCTGAGATGATTGGATGAATAATGAACTGGAAAGGAATTTAAGGTAGTATCCCGGTATTTGTTTTAGAGGTTTGCTGAAAATCGCGATAAACTCAGCTTCGATATTCTGGGCGAGATTTGAACCCAGGACCGTCCGAAGCAG